TAACACACAGAGACGCTGTTTTAGATATACAGCTGTTGGCCAGTTACTAGTGTTTCTTATTAACTAGCTCTGTTTTAAATATTAACCCATTTCTATCAATCTAAGTGTTTCCATGTGGTCTTATCTTACCAAAGAGAGGGCCCGGAGTTCTGCTCTCTCAGGTCCCTACATGTTGAATCTCCTCCTACCTCTCCCCAAATCCTCCTCTCCTAGTCCGCCTATCTTGCTTTCCTATTGGCCAACAGGGCTTTATTCATTAACCAATACAAGAAACATATTTATAGAATGACATCTCCCATCATATCTTCCCCTTTCAAGTCAGGCCATGATTCTCAGTGTAGTAGGCTTAGTTTTCATCCTACCACTTGACTGCTGTACTCCATAGCTTATCTTCTGTATCATTTGCATTATCATGTCAGAGTACCATTCTTGTCTGTGGTTAAGTGAAGGATAACAGGCTGCCCTACCTCCAGTTTGCAGGCCACCAACCTCTCTAATCCACACTAAACTGAATTTAATTTCCCAAGGAGGCTCAGGTTCTGTTTTTAAATATACAAGCCTTAATGGGGTTTCCAAGTTCTAGTACATTCCATTTTCTCCTCTTTGTATTACACTTCTGCCCTCTGCCCAGTGGGAAGCCTCTGGAGAAAGACACTGTAGCTGGGAGCCATTCATTTATTTCCTTTATCCTTTGCAGGCTACAGGGTTGTTAATTCTGTGCTCCTGTGGATTATTTACATACAGTATCTTGTTTAACTTACGTTGATCCTTTGACTTTATTCCAAATATATGAAATTTATAACCAGTACTACCCGATTCATAGACAAAGAAGTGGAGATACAAATAGGCAAACAGCAGATCAAAGTAGCTACTTGGATGCATCTACAATAGAATATAGTCCTTCCAACTTGTAGCATAGCTGTTGGCATTTATAAAGAATAAGAATCACATGGCTCTAGCAGCGCCACTGAGCAAGGGTCTCAGATGTCACAACTTGAAGTTATTGTGATTCTACTTCTCCCCAAGAATAACTTACTGGCTGAGTGCTGTCAAGATGTGAAGGCTGGTCTCTTTTGTACCAGATGTGGAACAACTTCCTTGATGTTTAGATGTAGTGTGAAGATTTCCTTGAACCTGGTTAAACTCACCTGAAAATTGTACATGCTTCCATATATTTCCTGGTAAGTGGGGCCTACCAAGGGCATCATTTAGAGAAACAGTAAGAACTGGGTGAAGGGAGGCAGGGTAGCAACATCATGTATGACATAAGTTAAAACCATTTGATGATTGGTGCAGGAATGTGCCTGGCATGTAGAGCGACTGTGAATGAGATGAATGCTAAAACAGCTGAAATTGCCATAGGGAAGACACAGCCCTCTCCAATACTTCATATATCCTTGGCCAAGATAGAGTTTGAACTTTAAAAAGACAATGAAGATGTAAATATTGTGCACACAACTAACTCAGACATTCCACCAGACAGCACTAATCTACTATGTTTCTTCTACGTCTCCAGCAAGGAGATGAAAGTGTAAATGTCTCTGCTCTGATGCAGAATGGACCAGAAATCAACAAGAATACTTATAACAACTCCAACCTCAATGGTATTAAATGCCCTGGAAATAATAGAATTGAATGTTATGATTAGACATAGAAGAGTTGGGGGATCTTTATGTGCAGTAGATAAAGAAGCTTTATTCTCATCTGCTGTTGTTGGCAATCAAGTGCAATTCCAAATGATTGTATCTAAAGCCAAGAGATTGACTGAGATGGTCTAGCACAGCAGTTCTCAAACTTGAGACTCCATATGAAAGACAAAAGGGATTGTGAAAATTTAGATTGCTGGGCAGACTGTGAAAATTTAGACTGCTGGGCTCTACCCCCCAGAGATTGTTTTTCAATAAGTCAAGATTTTGCATCCTCATGAAGTTTGCAGGAAATGTTTAGGCTCCAGGTTCTGCACCACTGGGTCTGAATGTAGCTGGGAACAGAAGACAGATTAGTTCAGGTTCAAAGGTTAGAAGCATGAAAAAGGGCAGTTTAAGTAGACAGAAAATTGAGAGGAGGGATTTTTACTGAATGCAGGTAAAAGCAAGAATGATTGGTTGCAATGACTATTAGCTGAGGACTTTGAGGTTTGAGGCCTGTGGAATAATATTGAATTTAATGACATAAGGGTCATTGATGATTAGGGGAAGGGCCATATGGAAATTTTAATATGATGGGTTCAAAAATACCTGTCAAGAAACCTTTGTATTCAAGGGAAACACAGTGAGTGTTAAGTGGGAAATGTGAGTCAAAAGAGACTCCTTCTTTTTGGAGGTGGATGATAGTAGCATACGTTAGAATTATCAGCCGAGATGATAAGGAAAGAGTGTGGAAAATTTGCAGAGAGGAGACCATAAAAGGGTAAATGGACCAGAAGAAGGCAGTAAGACCTGATGGCTACTACTGAGGAGTGAGTGAATTGACATGGGTAGTAATATATCTAAAGGAGAACTAATCATATAGTTTTGTTGCAATCTGGCCACACATGATGTAAGGAGTGATCATAGTGTTCCCAGGACATAGAACAAGGGACTGGTGTTAGATTTGGTGAGACCAAGAAATTATTGGAAGATCAAATGTGTATAGAAATAAGAGAAGGGGTGGTTGGAGAGCAAGATCCTTAGCATCAGTTGTTGGTAATAGGAAGTGAAAATGTGACTAAGATAGTAGGTGAAAATGTGAGAGGTACATTTATAATCAGCCTTAGGTATTTTGTTACAGCAGCACAAATGAACATGACAACCTGATTGTACAGCCTGGAGTGCTTAGCTTGCCTTTTGGCTTGTAGAATTGGGTGATACTTCAGAAGTCATCCAACATTCATGAGCTAGGCAACACCTTGCAAGACAAAGGTCTTACCCAAATGCACAGGCTTCTGCACCTGTCATCTGATGGAGACTCCATGGTCCTAGATTCCGAGGTTCTGTGGATTCAAGATCCCACAAATCCACACCGATAAGCTAAAGTCTGTGGCTCTCATTACCTCAGGGTGTGACCTTATAGGGGGACAGTGTTACTAAACACTTATTTAATTTAGATGAGATCACACTGGCAGAAGGCGGGTGCCAGAACCGATATGAATGCTATTTCTTTGCATCTCCCAGCAGCAGAGGGAACTGTTAACACAGAATGAAGACTGGACTCCCCCAGGTTGCAAATCTGGAAAAAAATTTAAGAGTGGAGAAAAAAAAAAAAAAAGCATGGAGAATCAGGTCATTCATTGGATGGGGCATCATGAGGACTTCAGAGTTCCAAGAAACTTTCGCAGAAGTAGTTGTAGAAGAAATAAGGGACAAGAGACAGCAGGAAGGTGAGAAGATTATTGCGAGGACAGTCATGTGTTCTCTTCTTCCATGGATGGTGCTCAAAGTGAGCACCACTTGCAATATAAGAAGAAATAATTGGCTTATCCACATTAGTTTTTTTGTTTTTGTTTGTTGTTGTTTCTTTGGACACGATCCCTTAACAAAACTCAGTGCTTGCAAATGCAGCTATACTGGCTGGTCAGCAAGCCCCGGTGTTCCTATCTCTGCAGTCCCACTGTGAATACAAGCGTGTGCACATGCGTGTTTTTCCCCCATGGATAAGAGCCCACTGTGTGCAGGAAGGAAAGGCAGTAATTAGCATCAAGGACTAATGCTCAGCATTCTCTCATGAAACAAGAAGGGAGGGGGTATTGTGAATCCAGAACACAGGCTAGAGGACACATGCACATTTCATAGGCATTCAGTCAAGAACAACGGGAGAGTGCACTCAGGCACACACAAGGTTGGACTTCAGAGTCTGCTGAGGCACCAAGTGAGTGCCCTGTCACCAAAATATGTCATGAACGGTGATTCAAGACAGGGAAAACAGGAGCTTCTGGGACGGACGTATGGCAGGGCTGCCTCTCATCAGGACACCCCAAGGGTCAATGATTCCAAGTAATGATGGGTCCCCTCCCTTTCCTGGAGGCATCACAAGTCTCTGATCTCTGAAATTCCAGGAACACTGGGATACTGATGTCTGCTATGGAGAGTCAGCCCACGAAGTAGTCAAGTCTTTCCCATTAAGAGTATGAAGTCTCTGGGGAGTGGAGAATGCTCGGAATGTGAAGTGCTATCTGCACCTAGTAAAAACCTGAGTTCATGACCCAGTACTCACTTAAAAAAAAATGTATATAGACAGATAGGTTTATGTTCAATCTCAGCATCCCAGAGAGAGGCACAGAAGGATAAAACACACTGCCTGGCTAGTCATTCTAGCACAATCAGTGAGCAACAGGTACAGAGGTGCTGTCTCAAAAAAAAATAGAGACAGGATAACTGAAGAAGATACCATTTTCTGACTTATGACATCCACACACTTGTGCATGAGAGTACACACACACACATTATCTCTCACACTATCTGTGGGGTGTGTGTGTGTGTGTGTGTGTGTGTGTGAGAGAGAGAGAGAGAGAGAGAGAGAGAGAGAGAGAGAGAGAGAAAGTGAGAGAGGGTTAGAACGTTTCCAACCCTTTCTTTGGCTGCGAAGCACACATCTATCTGTTCCTCTCCTTCAGCATTGTGAGTGGGCAAAACACGAGGTAGTGGAGAAAGCAGTGTAGCTGGACCCCACCCATAGCACCCTAGAGAGGACAGGGAGTATGGGTGCAGGCGGAGACACAGTGTCATCAGGGACCTGGCGTGCTGTCTGGGTGCGTGGGGTCCATGCTTCGAGTGCAAGGCTGTGTGTGCATAGCTAGCTAATGCTCCAGCCCTGGCTGGTGACGATCCAGAGAGGCACCGCCACACCACGGGGCGTCTCTGGACTTGGGCACAGGCCAAAGAAGGCTAGGCCTGGCCCGAAACTAGCAGGAAGCGTCAAACCGGTGGAGACATCTGCACCGTCAGCCAAGCACTGACGTGAACATTTATTTGGGGGCGGGGAGGGGGAAGCAACGCAGTATGCCTGCCGTGAGGATCTTTCAAGCCCCACAGTCTCCCAGGTGGTCCTCTTTTGGAGGTGGAGCTGCAGGGGTGATGGCTGGAAGGACGAAGCTCCCTTCTAAGGAATGGTTGAAGAGGGGTCCCTGGCAGCACCTATCCTGGCTGCTGACCTCTTCCGGGCCGCCTTTAGGATGGTCTTATCAAAGAGCTCTTTCTCACGATGGTGCACGGGTGGGCCACGCAGGTACTTCTCCTCCGCCTCCTTGTAGCTGAGCTCCTCCAGGGCAGCGATGGAGCAGATGATTGCTTCTGGAAGAAGGACCTCCATGGTGAATCGGACTTTGTCTCCTCTTGCCAACGCGAGCAGGGCCTCGTCTGCTTCCTTGGATATTTCTTGCAAGTGTCTGGCTACGAGATGCAGCTGGTCCTCATCCTCCAGGTAGGTCTCAATGCAGTAGACTTCCCTCTTGAATCGCCAAAGGTTGTCCAGCCACCTGGACGGTTTCCTGCCCTTTACGATGTCCAGCAGGTGCTGGTCTGCCCCCTTTCTCTTCACGATGAAGTCTACGAGCTTCTGGTTGGCTCTGTCCCAAGCGGCCCTCATGCGGTCTGGCAAGAGTTTCTTGCGGGGCCCCTTCCCACCCAGGGCGGTCTCCTCCTCCCAATCTTCCAAGTCGGCATAGCTCACCTTGGGGAAGTCAATGTGCAGGTCGCCCTCTTGGATGGCTCTCCTTAGCGGGTAACTTGCTCGGGCGGTGTAGTAGTCCATAAAGGAGCCCAGGAAGGAGCCACAGGCGAGGCCCTCTCTGTAGTGGTCGATCACTGAGAGGCACCAGTCGATGCCCTGGCCGTACACTCTGCTGGCTCTCCTCAGGAGCGCTGATTTCTCCCCACAGTCCAGGTGCTTCAGCTTGCGTAGAGGGACTGGGACACCCCTGTGCTCCAACTGCATGTTGCCCTCGATCAACAGCACCCTCGCCATCTTGTCGTTTTTGCTGACGCTCTTGACCACCGCCGGCCAGAAAGGAAGGTCCTGGAATTTGAACCAGACCAGCATCCCACGTTCGATGGTATTTGGCCCCAGGGCAGAAGCCACGTTGGTGCCTTGGCAGACTTTCTGCACTCCGGCCACCCTCCTCTTGACCCTGGTGCTAGTCGCCTTTGAGCGCACTCTATTCTCCTGTTGTGGGAGCATGCAATGTGCGCACAGCACATGGAACTTCCTTTTCCTGCTAGCAATGCGGAGCGATCTTCGCAGCCTCGGGATGGGAGGCGTGCAGGCTGCCGATGCCCCCTTTGAGTCTGGCTTTGGGGTCTCGGAGCCGGGGTCCTGCTTGTTCTCTGGGAGGGAGGTCTTCCTCTGGGCTCCAATAGCCCCGATCTCCAGGCCGCCACACCGTACTTGTTGCTGGAGAGCTCTGGGCGAGGTAGAGGCCTGCCTCGGTGGTGGTGGTGGTGGTGGTGGTGGTGGTGGTGGTGGTGGTGGTGGTGGTGGTGGTGGTGGTGGTGGTGGTGGTGGTGGTGGTGGCAGCAGCGGCCCAGAGGCAGCCTGCTGCTGTTTTTTAGCCCGGCCCCCCCTCCGAGAGGCTGGGGCCCTCAGAGACCTGAGCTTGGATGGGCTCAGCTTTCTCTTGCCCTGATTATCGCCAGCATTTCCTGCTGGTGGCTTGCAGGAACTTGGCCACACTCTAGTGCCTCTTAACAAGTTCCCTCGCATTTCAAAGTGAGGAGGCCCAACAGCAGTGTGCACCTGGGCTCTGCCCCCTTGCACTGCAAGCTCATTCTGTGAGCCCTTCAACACAGGCCCCAGGCGGCCCCGGCCCCGGCCCCGGCCCCGGCCCCGCTTCCTGGGACTCCTGAGGGAGAGCCCCTGGCCTTTCTGGTTGTGGTCTTGGAGGTGCAGGCGCTGGCCTGAGCTGGAGCTGGCCTGCTCTTTTGGAACCTTCAGAGTCGCTGTGCTGGTTCTTCGGCCACCTGCCCTTCTTCCTTGATGCAAGCCGGTTCCCTCGCCCAGAACATCCAGAGCCGCCTTGAGGGCTCTTCTGTATGCCCTGGTCTGCCCTGGCGAGCCACTGCCCTGTGACTCCTTCCCGGCCAAGGAGGCGATGGTAACGACTTCAGACTGGCTTAGGGGCTTCACCTCTGTGCTCCTCACTCTTGTCTTCTCACCCACAGGCAGAATCTGGACCTCCAGGAAAGACGCCCCTCTCCTCCTACTGTGGGCTGTGGTCCTGGGTCTGGATAACACCCTTGCAGGCCACAGCTGGCCCTTCCAGCCACAGAGCACATACTCTGCAGAGTCCATGGTGAACGGGTCTCTGGAGCTGCGCTGATCAGGACAGGGTGGCTCCCTTGGTTGTGGTGGGGCACACTGTGACTGCTGGTCTTCTGTGGTCTGGTTACCCTGCCGGCAGTGCTACCCTCCCTCCGGAATCTGGTAGACAAGCTTGGACTGACGTCCTCGCTCAGGGCTCAGGGCGACGTGGACGTGGGCGTATCCTGTAGCGTGGGAGAGGGAAGCAGAGCTGCACCAGGAGGGAAGTAGCCTCCAGTGGACACAGAAGCAATAGCTCAATGAGGTGAGGAGAGAGAAAGCAAGGGAGTAACCAAGTCTGTTCTACAGAGGTGAGGATGCATGTGGGAGAAGACATGGAAGGATCCAGACAGAGCACGTGTGCAATAGACGGTTCACCACCAGGAGGCTGGGGTGGTGAACTCACTTGCTCCTGGAGAGGCGAGTGGCTTTACAAGGCCCGTGTGCTTTCTTGCCCATCCTGTACCCCTGGGCTCCCTGGGATTATCTCGGGGAGTGGGGGAGCCTCATTGTTCTCTTTCCTAGGGAGCTAATCCCACCTTGCCCCACCCCAGGAAGCCTGTGGACACCTAGTGCGCCTGTGCCTTCCACACCAGGGAGACAGATGCCAGGCTGAGGAGCAAGTGTGTGGGGAAATCTTCATGGAGATACACACAGCATGGCTAGTAAGGATGGCGACTGCCACTGTCCTAGCTTCTGGCCTCACACCCCCACCCCCCACCCCCCACCCCCCACCCCCGACGCCGACCACAGACCCTCGTATTTGGGTTCAGGTCTCTTGTTCCAAACTCCATCCTGGCCCTCGCCGTGGGATCGGGAGTCTCCGTGGCACAAAGGAAAGCACCTCATTGTGGAGAAATGCTTCCTAACTGGCAGACTCAGGAGTGTCGGACAGAGAGGGACAGGAGAAGTGTCTCCGTTGGAACTGCCCATCCTCCTGCTGCAACCTCAAGTCCGCAGACCCTACACACCCATATCTGTGCGTGATGGTCACAGTTCTACCAACAGATCCCAGGCCACGGGACTCCCCTGCCCACAACCCCGGTGTCCCTAATGTTAACCCACAAAGTCTCAGACAGACAGGAAGTCAAAGCGGCTACTCGATGACCCGGATGCTCACTTGCCCATCGCCAAGCCCAGAAGCCATGCTTGGAATCGGAAGTGGTATCCGAACTCATCTGTAGCACAGCTCTCCTGTTCATGTTCCTCCTCCATGCTCTGCCTCTCCACATAGTTCCTTCCCCATTGTGCTCCTCACTGGAATCTCATCCCTTTCTGATCCTCACTGTGACTGGGCGTGCATCGGGGTCTGCTCCTTTCCTGGCTGCTCTCGCTCGCCTTGGGCCCATGGCTTCCTGTCCGCAGTGTGCATGCCATGCATGCATGCGGAAGCGAAGCCCACACCTGTCTGACCCTCAAAAGAGGCCCACTGTGCTTGAGTGCCGAGAAGGACCACACACTTTGAAGGACCACAGCACAGAAGAACCATGCAGGCAGGGCTCGTGTGCCACAGATGTTCACCGTTCAGGCCGGGATGCAGGTGGTTCCTGTCACCACGGGGGGCCACCACCAGGCCCAGGGAGGCCGGACACTGCGGACTCTGGGCTCCTGGAGCAGCTTCCTGAGGACACTGCTCTCCTTGGGGACTCCCAAGAAGTTACCCCACATCCCTTCTTTGAGTGTGGGCACACCGAGCTCTCCCTCAGGGACTCCAGGCCTTATCCAAAGGAATTCCCAACTGTACAGAAATACGGGCGGCAAGTGATAGCCACATCCCCTTCCCACCTTCTGTATCTATAAACACCCGGTGGTACGTTCTAGCTCCCGATTCACTGTGCAAATGCTCACCGTCCCTTCTGCCGAATTCCCAGTCAGCTCTTGCTGACTTCAAATCTGATTCCACAGTGCATAAAGTGGCTATCTACATAAAGGACTCTAGGTCTGCTCCGGGCCACACCTGCTCGGTGATGCAATAGCAAATGTGTTCTGCGGAAGTCTGGGGCCCCATTTAGGGATCACCCGCAGAAACCCCTCCTCTGAGGAATCTGTGTGATCTTACAGGGTTGGCCTCCTCTGATCCAGCCCCCTTGGGGTCCTGGGCCACAGCTGTCTCCTGAGGACACGGAGGGAAACACTGGCGCCTCGGGCGCTTCAGGCAGCCTTCTGCTGGACCCTCTTAGCACATGCCCTCCAGCAAGGCTGAACGAGCACCTTCAAGCCCAACTATGCCCCCACACCCAGGCTCCACGCCTCGGGCACGAGAGAACCCACCCCTCACCCGGTCCCGAGAAACCGCAGATGCCCGAGTTACACGTACAGAGTGCAAGCTTTCCACCCCAGGCAAGCCTTCACGAGCTTCTGATTGCCTCGAGCGTGATGTTCTCAGCCTCACACGCTTCCTGAGTTAGAATACATGCCTGGGAATACCAAGTATGTGTTCAAGCCCACAAGCCGAGGGCATCCACGCAGCACCTGTCACTCAGCCATGAAGAAAGGTGTCTGCGCTTATCATATCAGGCCACAGCCTGCCCAGAGTGCTTATTCCCAGGCCACGTTCTTCCCCAGTGTGTGTGTTCCATCTGTGCATGCCCTAATGCTCCAGGGTGTAGAAAAGTCATTACATTGTCTACAGCCTGCTCAGATTTTGTCAGTAATGCCACCTGCCTCTATCATTGCAGGCATCACCTCCGGTGCAGGAGCTTCAACCATTTACCTTTCCAGTGAAAACAGCACTATGCTCCCCAGAGGCGCATGGAGAAGTGTGCAAGATGGAACCCTGAAAGCTCTGTCTCAGCACATGCTTTGGCCCCGTGTGCGGAAGGCCTTCTGTCAAGGGCTTGCGTGCTTGACAATCCCCGTGTTCGAGGTCTATTCATTCATGTTTTCTGCAGGTTGGGAACTACCACATGGCTCCCCTCCATGTGGTGAATCAGACAGAGGCGGGGCGGGGGGGGGCAGGCTGATGGGAGGGGTACAAGAAGGGCACAAAGTCTATTGCTCACACACAGGGGCAGAGATATGCAGAGATCCAGATGATGTGCTTGCTGGTGGGTCAGAGAGAAACCCCAGCCGCTCATCCCGTAATGCCCCATCCCGTAATGCCCGGCCAGCTAGCTGATGCTTAACCCATCAGTGAATGGAGTAAAGACTCAGACCCCGACACAAACTAATAGCTGTCTGTCAAGGGAACAAGCTCTGCCCCTTCCTCAGACGTTCATCCCACACTGGTTTGACCTCAGCCTTCCCAGCTGCGATTGGTGACCAGTTTAGAGGCAGCGGTCTTTTTGGAGGCATGTCATGTCAGGTCTCCAGGCCAAGAGACTGGAGTCCTGGGCTTCATCCCTCCGAGGAACCTGGCAGTCGTCGCCCCCCCCCCCCATTTACCTCCTCCTTAGATGCCTTCCGGCTCCTCTCTTTCACACAACACGAGCCACGGCTATCTTGGGTAAGGTGCTGTCACACGAACACGGTCTTTTCTGTCAGGAGCTCGCGTGAAAATCATGGGCAAACAGAGACGGGGCATCCATTTATGTGGGTAGGTGATCTACGCTTTCAGGGCCTGAAACGACAGAGCTGTCACCAAAGAGGTGTCACCTGAGGACAAAGAGACAGGGCTGGCTGAGCAGCCAGTCCTTGGGGCTTCGCTTCAAACAGTAGTAGTGAGCACCTCTCCTGTCCCATGAAAGAGCAAGCCCGCTCCCGAGGCACACTCACAGGCTCAGCTCACACTCACTCAGGCTGTCTGCAGGCACCTACCTACGCACTTTGTGTGTCTGTCGAGTGGTTCCACCTCTCCAGCCTGAGTATCCTTCGCAAATGTATCTGTAACCAGGAAAGAATGGCTTGTCCCCGTTGTCATGGCAACCACTGTGTCATCAGAAAAAACGTTCTCTCCTAGTAGCCAGTTCTCTGCGGAAATCGGGGAAGTACTAATCCACCCAGGAGGCCTACTGTTCACTTACATCTCAGGCACCTAGATCCCCCCCCCCTCCAATTCCCTGCAGCTGCGTGCATGAAAGAAAATGAGCATGCACAAACAGGGTACAGAAGTCGATGCTGCCATGCCAGGGCCCAGGGGACCTTGGCGCAGGGGCTTTGACCACAGAGGGTCTGGGTCAAGGCAAGGCAAGGCAAGAGATGACAGGCTTTTGTCTCCCTTCTAATCAATAGAATGAGATAAGGCAGGGGTCAGAGGTGAGAAGGACACCTTTTCAGAATTCCGAAGGCAGGCAGGTTGTTTCTCCAGATGTAAGTAAGTGTTTTAGGTCACTTGGCAGACAACAGGGAGGGCCGTGGACCTGCAGGAATTCAGGTGGCAACAACATCCAGAAAGAGGAAGAAAGGAAGGAAGAAAGAGAGAGAAAGAAAAAAAGAAAGAGAAAGAAAAAGAAAGGTCGAATCTCAAGCAGGAAGGAAAGAGAGCAAACTTCAAATGGCTGGAGGCTTTGGTAACCACAAAACCAGCCCACAAAGGCATATTTCCTCCCTCAGTGCAACACCTCTCAACAAACCGAAACACTGCCATCTATTAGGAAACAAGTACACACACACACACACACACACACACACACACACACACACACACACACGAGAGAGAGAGGGGGGGGAAGAGAGGGAGGGAAGAGGGAGACAAGAGGGGAGAACAGAGAGAGGAGAGGAGGTCATGTTCCTTTAAGCTGCCTCAAGGCATGCCTACTACTCCATGCACTCATCCCTGCATCTAGTAGGATGCTTTCTCATCGCATTGGATGACTCCATTTTGGAAAGTTCACCTCTTCAGGGTTTTTCTACTTTGCTCACAGCACATACATGGATCATTACAGAATATGCCTTTTGCCTGACCATTTTCACTTACAATACTCCCAGCATTCACGGAGGGGTGTGTGTGTGGGGGGCACAGTGCATTCCTTCTCGGGGCCGGGTAGTATTGTGTTGTTCTGATTTGCCATGCTCAGTGTATCTCTTTATCATGAGGGGCTAATTTGAGACTTCCCCACTGTGACTAGGGCTGCCATGAGCTTTTGTGTGCCTACATTTGCTCAAATGCTTCTATTCAGGGGATTGGGCCATACCTAGGGGTGGAGTGTATGTGTAATGGGCTGATATGGCATTACCCATTTTGATGAACACAAAGGTGCTGCCC